CTTCATGTGCGTGTGTACAAGAGTTCAGGGGCCCATATTTTTCATTATGGCAGGAATCCTACATGATTCCCATCAATGGACGGGAATTCTTGACAAATTCTTGTTACCGCGCAGCTGGGCACCACCAAACTGTTGCAACGACGCAGTACTCCGTGCGCCCATCACGTGATCTGGTGGTAGGCGGTGTACCGGTACTTTCTCTAATAAATTGAGATTGCATGCAGCTGTGCTGAATGAACAGCCTCAAGGTAAAATCCAGACTATTTTCTTGGTTCTGCGAGTGCGAATGGAAAGAAAGGACACACAAAAAAACACACATGTTCCCAAAACCAAGATGTTTATCTAACATGGTCTTTACCTACTAGTGCAGTTCACTGATAGAGATACCACATTTAACGATGTACCGCTTATAACGATCAGTTAAAATCTAGACTGGAAATAATCAGTTTCTAGTCCAGATTCAACGATAATCGGTTATAACGATTGAAATTTGGGGTTTTTTCCTTATCAACTATAAGTGGGTTGCACTGTATTTGCTTCAGAGCTTGTAAGATATCGTACCATGCACACCTTGTTTGTGCATTGTGAGCAATCCTCTCGCAGATTGCATCTCACCTCTCGAAGTTTACGTCATTATTGTGTAGCTTGGGGAACCTGACTTCTCTTGACAATTTGTTAAAAAAAAAAAAAGAAATTCTATTGTATTAAATAATGTTTGCTTGAACAAGCTTATCTTCGATGCTTGTTTGATAGATTGTTTTTCTTCACCAATGTATTTGTTTTCCGGTCATTTCATCATGCTATTGATATTGCGTTATGTTATGAATGTTAACAGAGGTGATTGTCATCACAAGAAATTGAGAAATACATTTTTTCGGTGGAGCTGTGAAATAAAGGGTGTTGTCTTTAATAATCTGAGGAACGAGTTCACAACTAAAAAAAATAGTTGACACACAAAAAAGTAAGGCACAGTTTGTATGAATGCACACTGCTGTTTTTTTTTTTTTTCTTCTTTTTTTTGTTCAGCAGAGTGGCTGCTATCAAGGTTATAAGTGACTGAGATCTGATTTTGGATACGGCTATTCATGTTATAGAATGTACGGCACGGATGCTGTGATTGTGCGAACTGTGTCGCTAGAATCAATATTCTGTGTTTGTGCAAACTGTCGTATGAAGTACTAACATTTTTGTTCTAAAACGATTAAGGAAACGTGAAAAACATCTCTTCTGCAGTTCTGCGTCCTGCGTCCCGAGGGCAGAAGTACGATAGCTTGAAGTACACTCTAAGAAAAAAGTTGACCTCAAGGGACTAACGGCAGCATTTGGTCCTCTGAACTCCCAGTTGCTCCTCGAAAGGACCATCTGGCTCAAGCTAGGTACCGTGCGCAAAAGCTGGGGACTAACTGCGCTCGACTGGGACCAACCGATAGGCGTGCGCGAGCAAAAGCATCCATTAGTCCCCCTCAGACAGGGTGCATCTGTATGATTTAGTCCCCGAATGCAAACGGAATGTTCGCCAGGAGGACGGATGCTATTTCGCTTGTCTTGGGGATCGGCGAGACTCAGCCCAGCACGGCTGAAAGTGTTGACGAAACTCGGACGAAACTGGCGAATTTGTTTAATGTGCCAGGAACGTTAAGACATTGCATGGTAGAGCTTCACGCGTTGTGTGAAAGCGAGTGAACGAATGTGTTGACTCGACTTCTTCCAACTATCTCCTCAAAAACGATCTGTTGACATTCCAGAAGTCCCATTTACGTAATTTGCCTTCGCGCAAAAAATGTGCATTCATCCAAACGCAACACCTCCAAATACTAACACTTTTTTTCTTTTAAAAATGAAACTTAACAGTTTGTAGAAGCCACGCTTTTAACACCGGAGTCTCGCAGTCAGAATAAATGGTCATTTCAATCCCTAAAACTGAGCATTCCCACCGGCGATATAAGCAGTCGCGCGATGCCACTAGATCGCATCGCAAAAAAAATTAGATGGTCACACCGGCGTGTGCGATAAGCGAGTCCAACGCCTTCGTTGGCGAGTCGTTTGTCGAAAACTCTCGCTCCGAACGCCGTTGATTTGCTCAGCCGCTCCGCGACTAGATCGCATCGCAAAAAAGTTGAGTCGAGAAGCGACTTCTCCAATCGCGTCGCTTTTTGCCCGCGATGGTCGCTTTTGCGATGGAAGTTATCGCGCGGCTAGATCGCATCGCCGGTGGGAACGCGCCTCCGTCTCTGTGTGACAAACCTTTCTGGGTAGTCCAATGTCGAACTAAAATCCGCAACGACACACTTGATGCACGGCACGTTCCACTTAAAGAGCACATTCAGGGGCAGTATCCAGACGCCTTCATGCCATCGTCGTCGCTGTTTCCAAAACAATCCAGATGAACTACGAAGAACGAACCACGCCCGGAACGTCACACCTGGCAGCACCCTACTAATACAAAACAAATGCAAACTAAAAAAAAAAAAAAGCCACTTGAGAAAGTTGAAAATGCTTAAGAGAGAAAGAGAAAAGAAAGAAAAAAAAAAGTGTCTGCTTGAGGTCACTCGACCGGCGTGTTGAAAGTGGCGACCGTCTCCCGTCCTTGGAGCTCTTCGGTGTCCTTGTGTCGTGTGCAGTGGGAGTGGGAAAAGAGATTATCTTCTGCGCGCACTGCCCCCTCCCCCCAATCCCCTACCCCGCATTCTTTGCTCCTTGTACACGCGGAGGGTTGGGCGTTGGTCAGATGGGGTCCGTCGGGAAAACGGGAAGTGTCTTTGTTTGAAAAGAACCTGTTTTTAGTAAGTTGAAAGTCGAAATACAGCCTTCGTCGGAGGCTGGTCGGCTTGTGTCGTCTCCGATCATGCCGGGATCGGGTTTGGATTCGCGGTACTGAAGCACTGCACTTGATCTGTTCTGACGTCGCAAGCCAAGGGAACTCGATTAAGGTATGTCGAAGTGCTTCTGTTTATGGTGTATTTATTAACTGTGGCTTCAGAAAGTGTTTTCTTTTGAGCGCGTTCTCTAGCTTGCAAAGCGCGCGCCATGCTCTATTCTTTTTGGCACCCCGGTTGCTGATTTTGTTATGCGGCACAGAGACCTCATATTCTATCGTATCGAGCGAAACGCCAGTTCTACCGATGGCTTATTTTTGTGTGTGTGTGTGTTTCGCAGACCCTGGCAGGATCGCTTGACCATAAACGCCTGTCCACATGCAGCGGAGCGCTACAGGCATAACGCTGACCTTGCGCTAAGCGCGTGCTGACGGGATCGGTCAAAAGCTTTGTATCGCACCGACAAAACTCATGCTCACGGCAGACGAAAAGTAGCTCATGACACGTGAGCAGCGCTACATCAGCGCTTCGCTGCGTGTGAGAACCGGCATTAATGGAGACATTTATTCGATTGTACACTAGACTTTCGCGTTGATGGCGGGAGATCATGCCGTCACTTTGAAGCATAGTTTGAGCACGAACGCGCTGGGTCTGTAATTCGCAGCGAACGGTCTACTAAAATCTAATATTGCGCTGGTCTGCTGTCAACAGACTGCGTGTTGGATGTGAACCATTGTATCACTTATGCAGCCTATTTGTTAATTTATTATGCGTGTGTTATAACTTATATCTCATATATTTGTCAAGCGATTCGGTATTAATGCTGCCCTGTTACTAATAATCCAAATTCCTCGCAAACAGGAAAGAAGCTGCCGGAGCCCCAATAAGCGGTGCTGGGACCACGACCGCCTTGGGCAGACGTCCCAGTGTCCAAGCCATCGTCGACGCAAGTGCGCTCTTCGGAATCTGGCCTTATCGTGGATTCTACCGCCCTGGAACTTTGACTTCAGTCATCCTTGAATGCGATGTGTATCTACGAGGCAATAAAGCTACTTTTAACCTGAACTCCACAATTTCGTTTCGGGAGATTTGTGGCACGGGACCAAATGAAAAAAATAAACCTTTAGTCCCAGAAGCCTAAATCCAAGGGCGCAACGTTTAGACCCAGGGGTCCAAGTGCAAGGGCCTAACAGTTAGTCCTCGGGGTTCATTTGAACCGGTGTAGCAGTTAGTCCCAGGGGTCCAAGCGCAAGGGTCTAACAGTTCGTCTTCGAGGTTCAATTGAAACGGTGTAACAGTTGGTCCCAAAGGACCAAGTGCAAGGGCCTAACAGTTGGTCCTCGAGGTGTAACTGAAAGGGTGCAACAGTTAGTCCCAACGGTGCTAGTGCGAGGGACTAACTGACGGGGCGCAACAGTTGCTCCCGTTACAGTTGCTCCCCTAGGGGACTAATGGTGGTGGCAGCGCATTTAGTCCCCCGAGGGACTAAGTCGCGCTCCCTTTTTTCTTAGAGTGTAGGTGAAGTCGGGAACATCCGTGTTTAAGCAGTATAGCTCAAACAACGGATGTTTTGTGACGCAGGGTACCCCCTGGTCGCAGCAGAGCTGCCCCATTTCTTCAATCTCAAAAAAGCCAACGGACTCCATCCGTCGGCATTGGCCTGCAGCCGTCGTTGCAGGAGCACCTATTAGGATAAATCTTGTTTAGAGAACGTTGGTGGCATGTGCGAACATCGAAAATAAGGAAGCACCGAATTCACGCGAAACACTAGACGGTCATATTAAATAAAATTCGGAGACGCGGAACCAAAGGGAAACAAACATAACGACACAAATTTGGACCGATGTTGCGTTCGCCTGCGCATTAGCTCTTACTTCAGTAACACTGAATGTCTCGCCGTGATAGAAGTTTCTTTCACAGATTTGATCGGTGCCAAGACGATTGCAGCTAAAAAATGTGTGAGCGCACGGGTGCCTGTATGCGCATGCACAGCTCTGATCGGCACTCAAAGTAAGTGAGGGCGGCCAATTTGACCTCGCCCTAGCTTTGGCTACCATGCCAAAGAAAAACCTCGTATAACGGCAGCGTCTTACTGTTGCAAGATACGCCGCGCCCCCTAATCGTGCACCATTATACACGAAGAAAAGTATGATTTGTTGATTGAGAACTAAATAGAAAGCTTACCAATTCGCGGTACCGACACGCCGCAGGTACGGCATTTCTTCCTCGGCTTCGGAGGAAGACGAAGCCAAGGGGTCGTACTGGTAGGGTCGCAGGCCGAGTCCCCGTTTCGAAATTAATATGGTGTCGGGTGTCCTCATCCTCACTTGCGTCGTTCAAGTTTATGTTCCCAAGGAAATCGTACTGAAGCGCCATTGGAGTAGGCCACACGAACACGACGCGCACGACTCATCTCACAGATGAAACGCTCGTCACCCCACGGCCCTAAAACGTTGACGCAGGATGGAAGAAATGCATTAAATGAACTTCAAATAATTCAAACATGAGCAATCTAACTCGTTTACTGAATGATCAGACCTTTAGAAATGTCTGATTACACGCAAAGAAAACTCCAAGACAACAATATTATTTTATCACCTTTTCCGCGTTTATACTGCAATATCCTGCAATATCATTTTCATTAAATGATATTGCAGGTTTGAATCAGCTCGCGATCCTGAGTGACGAGCATCACGAGCGGATTGGCCGACCCCATAATATCATTCGCTGGAAATTACATTAATTTTTCCATGTATAGCCAAGATATAATGCAAGAGAACGGTGTCTGCACGCGTCAACATCGCTTACATGATTGTAAGTGGCACTTGTTTAGCCGTGTCCATGTTGACTACGTGTACTCATTTTTACTGTGATCCCTTTTGTTGTGTGTAATCACTGCGTGTCTCGCCATTTGGTCGAAGTAATTCTGTATTCGCTGTGAGAAGCCCGGGAGCACTTTTGTTTTCCTCAATATCGGCAGTGCACATGCTGCCCACGCGGTAATGTTTTAATTTTCCTAGTGCATAGAAGCTTGGCATTGCACGCGCTTGCACCAGCTGAGGAAGTTTTAGTGTCCACACTCAGGGTTGTGAAAACGATTTCAGCAAACGGCGATACACCAAACTTCTCACCGAGAATAAAATATGATTCCTACACCTTTAAACGTTATCGAAACCAATTAAACAAAGACCTCTGTAATGCTAGATCAAAATATTTTTGTGATTTCTTCCTAGCATGTGGAAATAGAACCGATATGATATGGAAAAAGCTTAATTCTGTGTTGAAATGTATGGATGGTCCAAAGCACTTCGAAAATAGAACCTACAGTGGTCAGCAGCTAGCCGGAAAGGAACTGGCGAACAAGTTCAATAAATATTTTGTCAAGTTAAGTAATAAAATCCTTGAGGGTGATGCCTGCAAGTATATACTGTTTTGAAATTGTTTGTCGTTCTTAGCCCGGTTACTGACACAGAGGTAATATCTACATTTCAATCCTTAAATAACAGTAAAATCTATGACCCCAAATGGTATACGGATAAAGCCCGTCAAACACGGCATTGATCTTATCTCCACTTGTTTTGCGCATATCTTCAAACTTTGCTTCCAAAACGGCATATTCCCAAAAGGAACCTAGTTCCCAAGAGTGTCAGTCATATACAAAAAGGTCGATAAAAACGATCTTGGTAATTATAGACCGATTTCAATTTTGCCAGTGTTCTGTAAAGGTCTAAAAAATGCCTCTCCTTCGAAAGTCAATATTTGCAGATAGTCATAACTTAATCACCCCATCTCAGTTCGGTTTCCGCAAGCAACGATCTACTTAACTCGCTCCTCTCACTCAAAAAGAATACGTTCTTAAAGGTTTTGAAAATAAGAAACTAATTCTTGGCTTATTCATTGACTTCACGAAGGCTTTTGATTTCCTCCAATCACAACCTTCTGATTAAAGAACTCAAAATATATGGTTATCGGGATAAGGTCTTATGCAATCCTACTTGTCTTTTCGTCAGCAGTATGTCCACGTCACTGGTCAATTGTCCGATGTAAAACCAATTAAATCAGGCGTTTCTCAAGCAAGCATTCTGGGTCTTTTTTTATTTAATCTTTATATAAATGGTATCGTAAATATAAGCAATTCAAAGTTATTTATTATCTACGCAGACGACCCGATCATGCTGTTTAATGAAAATAGCCCCAAAGAACTCACTGAAAACGCATACGTCACGCTAGAAAAGGTAAATACATGGAGTAGGTATAATGGGTTAAAAATAATCGTAAATATGACCAAGGCTGTTTTGTTTCTTACGGAAGGGTAAACTTGTTAACATAGACGAGGATATTATGTTCAATTCTTCTAAAATTGAAGTGGTAGCAGTATTTAAAAATTTAGGTGTCTTTTTTTCAGAGAAAATGTCACGGAATGCTCATGTAAATAATGTTACATCAGAACTGTCTAGCATTGTTGGCCTGGTTTATCGTCAAAAACATGTTTTGCCTTTTAGACTAATGCTACTAATATAAACTCGCTATTTTGGTCACAAATTAATTACGGCCATTTAATTCGGAAACAACCACTCATACAACTGTAGAAAATATATTTTTATTACAAAAAAGATACTACAAATCATTTGCAATGTTTCACCGGAATTTTCAACGGAAAACTTATTTAGCCAGCTAGATGTAGTAAACATTTTAAACTTGTATTGATATCGCCTGTGCATTAAATATAAAGCTGAAATGAGTATGAATGTACGAAATCTTGTAAGCTTAGCTGACTTAAAACGAAAAGTATATATGCCTATCCAACGAGAGTCAAAGAACCTTGGGAAGTCTCATTTTTAGAACTAATTACCACCTTCAAACCGCGGCGTTTACTCTCCCATCCACCCTTAACAGTTCTTGTGCGCAGCACATCGAACTTGAAAATATATTTGCCCCCCCCCCCCCCTCAGATAACCTAAGGAACATAAAAATTCTTAGCCAAACCAATCAAATGTAAGTGGCATGTTTATATGTTCATTGTTCGTTATATCTATACAATCGCTACTGTGACTTTTATTTTTTTGAACATCTTGTTGATGTATGATCTTTTTGCACTTTTTCTTTTCGCTGCTGTTACACTTCTGGGGGCTCGGGACCAGTCAAGCTGTTTTAACAGCTTTTTTTGCAAGCCCCCACCAACACTGTATCTCATTGTTGAAAATAAAGCTATTATGATAATTGCGGGACTCAATGCTTTCGACTTAAAATATCTCATTTTCCTGTAGACGTCTTATAGCTTACCTTGTGCCATTTTACGCCAATTATTTAGCGGCGTAATAGTTAACCCATGTAATAAAATGTTTTAAAGCCCAGTTTCTATGTGCAGGTTTCATTTCAGCTAATAAGACACGTTCATGTGACTAAAAGCGCGTTGTCACGACGGTCGATCCACACGTGTTGCCTTCGGTTGGGCGCTTCGTCGCGCGCTCCCGATGGCCTGCCTTTGTGACGTCATGAGAAGAGCACTACGGGCTTAACTTCTAGGAGCTGTTGGAGCAAGACGGAGACATCGGGGAGAGAGGGTGCGCGTGACGTCGAGTCAGTGGTAAGAAAGATCTCCTTCGTGACCGACCAATGAGAATGTCTCTGTCCACCTGCTCTTTCGCGTGCATCGCCTCCCTTGGCCTCTTTCTTCCTTTATTCCGGTTCGAAGTTCCTGTTTGTTGCTTCCCGCCTGCTTTGTCTGCTCTTCTCCACTTCCTTCGTCCCTGTGAAATTGGTTGCGCTCAGCGGTTTTGTCACGCACGCATTCCAAAGTCCCACACCCCCGTCAAAAAGCGGGAAAAAGCGGAACGAGTCGGGAAAACTTCCCGCTAAAAGTGCACGCTTCCGGCTTCCGTTTCTTTGGTATGGAGACTCCCTAAACGGTAGCAGGGCCTCGTCAGGCAGGGCAAACGTTCCCTTTGCCTTGCTACCCTAAACCTTGCGTCTAGCAAACGCCAGAAGAATCATTAAAGTTCAAGAAAAACGTTGTGGGCTTGGTTCGTTTGTGAGTAAGGGTATAGGGGATACTAAAAAGTATATCTAACCAGGAAAAAGCTAATACCATACAATCGGCTGTTTCCTAAGGTGAAGGCACGTGTCAGTGGGCTTCGCAGAGAGGGAAAGGTTAAGGACAACGCGAAGGGTAGCCCATGCTTAGGGGTTAAAAGCGCTAAAAACGACGGACGAGTAGGAGAGACACACACCACAGAGCGCTACTTGCAACTGGTTTATTATTGGAAAAACCACACGTACCGTGAAACCAACAAGACACACATCCGATTCAGTTCCAACCGTCGCTAATCACATTTCTTACTCTTACACCATGCATGATCGTAAAAACGATAACTCCGATTCAAACAGGGTTATCGATGGGGCACTTACACACGTACCCTCGTCACACTCGGAAATAAAAAACGCTTCCGTTATCTCCCTTGTCTTTCTATTTTTGTTTCGTGCCAAGATGACGGTGTTGTCGAAATAGGGTAAACACTCACACCTACTGCAATGTACTGCGAGATCGCCAGAGGGGGCTGACCTCAATGACAGGGCATGTTCCCTCAGTCTTTCGTTCACGCATCGCCCCGACTGCCCCACGTATACCCTCCCACAAGACAGAGGAATTCTGTACACTACCCCCACTCTGCATCCTACGTATTTTGTTGCGTGCTTTTTCTGACAAATATCCAACCGTGTGTCACCCCGTTGCACCCTCCCACCCTGTTCCTCCTTGTTGGTTTCACGGTACGTGTAGTTTTTCCAATAATAAACCAGTTGCAAGTAGCGCTCTGTGGTGTGTGTCTCTCCTACTCGTCCGTCGTTTTTAGCGCTTTTAACCCCTGAACATGTTCAACCAACTAGCCCAAATCCAAACCCTTCTGCAATAGCCCATGCCCGTCGCCGCTGAGAGTGTTAATGCCACCGGTCCTCCTGCAATGAGAATACACATAAGCAGGCATGTAACCAAGGGGGGGGGGGGGGGGGGGGGGGGAGAGAGAGAAGCGCATGGACATCTGATCGTGCCGGAGTTAGGCTAAAGACTGCTGGACTCTCGTTTGTTATCACTCAAAGGAAACAAGCGCATGAGCAACTGATCGTGCCGGAGTTAGGCTGAAGGCTTCTCGAGTCTCGTTTGTTAGAACTGTAGAGAACAAAGGCACGACGCCTCGGATACAAGGGTACGGGACGCTTATGTTACGGCGGAGCGAAGGGGGATTTGCGTGTAAGTTTGCCCCGCGGTAAGCGTGAGCTCAAATATCTTACCAGCTCCTGACAGCGATCGCGACCGCGAACCGCG